ATATAACCTTCCTTACAAGAGCTATTTGACATGGACTTGTCAAATTTTCCAGTCATTTCAGAAGTTACGTCAGATTACATTTCTGAAAAAAGAAAGAACATATTTGCAGTTGTTTTATAAGTTCGCAAAACATTTTAATTTCGTCCTTCCTTTAAAAACCGTTAAAGGAACTTCTATTTCAAGTTGTTATTTTGTAGCTGCTTAAAGTTAACGAGTTACCAAAATATTTCCAAGCCTGCACTTGATGCAAGGTCAAATAAAATCCTAAAACTTTCCAAATGGGAGTCTTTTCCAATTTGTGGTGGTCCAGCACCACACTTAACTATTTCTTATAAGGATTCTCTCCCCAGCACTAAAGTGACCATGGATTGTTCAGATGGATTTCTTTACACTCCTTCCCCCGCTGCCCGGCAAACATTTTGTTGCAAACACAGGTTTAATGCTTCCTTTCCTTTCCTTTCTCTACCCCTCTCTTTTCCTTTTGAGTCATGTCTATATTAGCTTGTCAGCTTGCAGGCACAGGAATGTCTTATTTCTTAATAAGTGTACAGTGTTTGAGAAACTTTAGACACTTCACAAATATTATTTTTATGTGAGCATGTAATACTTGCATGCAGTATAACATAAATGCATATATAATAACATGAGACAAATGCCTTTCTCTAAGATTGGTATAAGCAATGGTTTGCTGCAAGCACATAAGCAACTTGTGTAGGTGATTTATCATCCTTATCTAGCAAATCTACACAGCTATTACCTGCTACTAACAGAGCATCAGAAATGTAGCACACATGAACATTTATGGAGTCATATTTTGCATTGTGATGACAAGAGCCTTCCTCTTTCAGCTTTATTGTTTGGGGAGCAATAAAGACTGTGGGAGAAGTCTTAGTTGACCACTTCTTTGTAGAAAATTGAATCACTATTTCTATAAATCATAAAATGATGTAAAAGGGCTGTGAAGTAAACAATGATGTATATTAATTAGTAGCTCGACCTGAGTCAATACAAATCAAAGTGGCTTTATGAAAGTATTGATGTTCTTGGGTTTTTTTGTGTGTTTTTTTTAAAAAGCTTTTACTAAGGTTGAATTTATTTATGAATTTACCCCTAAGGGGATTGTTCAGCGAAATGAATCTATTCGCTTTGAAACCAAAATCATGGCAGCCAACAGGCATATATATATATAACTGAGCTAGGGCGATATTTATATGAACTGTGGGTCACGTCTATTTTTGACCTAACAGGAAGAAATACAGAAGCACTTGATTAAATAAATAGCATGTATTATAAACCAGCATCCTTATTATGCTTCATTTTAAGTGAACATTGACAGATCCCGTACAACGCTGCACAGGAGAACTAGAGCACCCCCAAATGACTCTCTTAGCACATCATGACAAACCATAGCTAATGGTTCCTGTGAATGCACCAATCTGGACCCCTTTGTCCCTCCCTGCTAGCTCACGGGAGAAACATACCGCCACCTCTGGCTTGGGGTATTAAATATCACATGCCTGTTTGATATGGATAATAAGACCTGTTAGGTGTTGGAATGACAACCACAGGAGATGGAGCATGATCATGTGACTTGGGCAAGGCACAATACAGATAGTCTTGATTTATAAGGAGAGCTACATGAACAGGGTTCTTCTGTACCCTCCAACATATCTCCGATGAAAATAGGGACATCCTATTTCTTCTTCTTCTTCTTCTTCTTCTTCTTCTTCTTCTTCTTCTTCATCATACCCCGGCCACCTGATTGGGTTGCCCCAGCCACTCTGGGCAGCTTCCAACATATATAAAAACATGATAAAATATTAAAGACTTTCAAAAACCCCTTCCCTATACAGGGCTGCCTTCAGATGCCTTCTAAAGGTTCTGTGGTTACTTATCTCCTTGGCTTGGGGTTCACATAACTCCATACCCTCTGCCATTTCTTAGATAAAAATAAGGACATCCTACCATGCCCTCCAGCATTTCTCCAGTGAAAATAGGAACATCCTAAGGAAAAGTGGGTCAAATCAGGATCAAATCAGAAACCGGGGTGGCTTCTATAAATCCAGGGCTGTCCCTGGAAAATAGAGACACTTGGGGGGTCTGACACTGCTGTCTGTGGTAAAGGTAAAGGATCCCTGGATGGTTAAGTCCAGTCAAATATGACTGTGGGGTGTGGCGCTCATCTCTGCTTTTAGACGATTGTCTCCAGACAGATTTTCTGGGTCATGTGGTCAACAGGACTAAACTGCTCCTGGCACAATGGGACACTGTGACAGAAACCAGAGTGCACGGAAACACTGTTTACTTTCCTGCCACAGTGGTACCTCTTTATCTACTTGCACTGATGTGCTCTTGAACTGCTAGGTTGGCAGGAGCTGGGCAACGTGAGCTCAACTATCTACCCTCCATCAAGACCTGGCTTGAGAGCAGTACATGTGAAAAGGATCTAGGAGTCTTGGTTGACCACAAACTTGACATGAGCCAACAGTGTGACGCGGCAGCTAAAAAAGCCAATGCAATTCTGGGCCTCATCAATAGGAGTATAGCATCTAGATCAAGGGAAGTAATAGTGCCACTGTATTCTGCTCTGGTCAGACCTCACCTGGAGTACTGTGTCCAGTTCTGGGCACCACAGTTCAAGAAAGACACTGACAAACTGGAACGTGTCCAGAGGAGGGCAACCAAAATGGTCAAAGGCCTGGAAACGATGCCTTATGAGGAACGGCTAAGGGAGCTGGGCATGTTTAGCCTGGAGAAGAGGAGGTTAAGGGGTGATATGATAGCCATGTTCAAATATATAAAAGGATGTCACATAGAGGAGGGAGAAAGGTTGTTTTCTGCTGCTCCAGAGAAGCGGACATGGAGCAATGGATCCAAACTACAAGAAAGAAGATTCCACCTAAACATTAGGAAGAACTTCCTGACAGTAAGAGCTGTTCGACAGTGGAATTTGCTGCCAAGGAGTGTGGTGGAGTCTCCTTCTTTGGAGGTCTTTAAGCAGAGGCTTGACAACCATATGTTAGGAGTGCTCTGATGGTGTTTCCTGCTTGGCAGGGGGTTGGACTCGATGGCCCTTGTGGTGTCTTCCAACTCTATGATTTATGATTCTATTCTATGAAGACAAGCAAGAAGCATGATTCAATGACACATTTCAGCCAGAGAAAAGAAACTCAAGGAAGGAGAAAGCAAGGAGATGACGGTTGAGGCAGGGGAGGGAGTGTCGCCTGGTGGGATGGGGGGGCCCTGAAAACAAGAAGTGCCATATTTGGGCTCAGGGTTCCCCATCTCTGCATCCGATCCTTTAAAACAGACATTTTCAAAGATCTGCAGATGTCATGTGCACGGGCTCCTGTCTCCTTTCCCTGTTTCTTCAAAGAGTGCCATAGGCAAACGCTAGGCCAGTGGATCTCCTAGCCCCAGAGAGAGCAGGAGCATCGCAGCTGAAAAAGAAGGGAGGAGAAAGGGAGAAATTAATACTGATCAGGCAGTGTGTTAATGAAACATTTACACAAGCAGTTTATGTGGTAGTAATAAAAAGGCATCATTCATCCCACTCTTTCATTACTTAGCACAATCCTTAAGAGGATTACCTTAAAAAAAAAAAAAGTAAAAAGCCCAGAGAGAATGAGAGAAAGAGGGAAGAATGTACTTATCAGTTGAGTCTCAGGATTGGTAATGCTGAGTTCTTAATAGATTGCTCTTGGATTTAGGATTACTGCCTTGCATGTTCTTTCAGGCATTGCTATAGAATAGAATCCTCCCCCCCCGCTTCCCTCTTCCATATGAAGAGCTCTATTGACTTTGTGATGAAATGACCTAAACTGTCCAGTTTATGCATATACTAATCCCATCTGCTGAAGCCCGGCCTCTGTCTTTTCAAATGTAAAGAGTTTTATTTATTTATTTATTTGAGAGAGAGAGAGAGAGAGAGAGAGAAAGATTTGACGGGAGGCTGCACTGAGACATGAGCTAATTCCTCAGCTAATATGATTAAAAGCCGCTGAAAGCAGGAGTTGGGGGCCTAACGGCAGCTCGCTGCATTTTTGAAATTTGGCAGTCTTCCATCTCACAGGGCCCCCGGTTCAAGGCTAGAAAAGGATAGTGTGGTTGTCTTCAGGCTCTCAGGCTCTTTTAACTCGTATCTTATTAGTTTGTGCACCAGTACAGTGGTACCTCGGGTTACATACGCTTCAGGTTACATACGCTTCAGGTTGCAGTCTCCGCTAACCCAGAAATAGTGCTTCAGGTTAAGAACTTTGCTTCAGGATGAGAACAGAAATTGTGCTCTGGCAGCGCGGCGGCAGCAGGAGGCCCCATTAGCTAAAGTGGTGCTTCAGGTTAAGAACAGTTTCAGGACCTCCGGAATGAATTAAGTACTTAACCCGAGGTACCACTGTATTACAATTATTTGTTACTCCCATCCCCAAATCAATCAATGTTTGGACATCATTCAGGTATCTGAAATGTCATTCCAAATATAGAGTCCCATGCAGAAGGAGTCGCCTTTCCTAAGAAAGAAAGAAAAAAGCATGTTATCTCCACTCAGCCTTGCATCTTCTCCACTGTGCATGCAGACCAACCTTCCTCGACTTCTCAGAAGAGAACTGAAAAGCTCTCTTTGCACATCTGGGAATATGGCTCACGGTCATAATTATGAATTGATTCTCTCAGCATGGACCCACTGGGTAATAGCTGCACTATTTTATATAGACATTTTAATAACAGTATCATAAAGTACTATCTGAGCGCAATAAAAAAGGAACAATTAATGACCCATTTTTAAAGAAACGCTGGTTCCAACCATGGTGGTGTGTTGTTGTTTTTTACAAGACACTTTGCATTTTGAATGCCTTCATAGAAAAAGACACACTTTACTGTTCATCCGCTTTCCACTTTTTGTTGAGAGCTTTGGTAAGTCTTCTGAAACAAGCCTGGAGCAAATTCCCCATAAATAACCTCTTTTTATTTTATTTTAAAAAGTATTTTCAATTCTTTTCTTTGTCGGAAGAGGAACAAAAGATTCTTGCCTCAAGGAGAAAGCAGAGAGAAGAGCACTGAAGTGTATCTAGCTTTCATTTGTTTTCTGCTTTATTATGATACGGGAGATCTTTACTTAGGTTTTTCTCAGGCAGCATCCTGAATGAGCAAGGTTTATAACCCTGCGCTTGATAAGACTGCAGTGCAGCAGCTTTTCCCAGCATCCCTTTTGTTCTGTCATAAAGCTTGGCCCGAAAGTGTCTCTCTTCCACCAACACCCAAAGCAGCCCTTGTTGTCCACCTGAAATCTTTCTGTTCTCCTCAGATGGGAACATGTTTTGGTTTGTTGCGGCAAGATTTTTTTGCTTTCCTGTTGGGAAAAATATTCAGGACAACACAGCTCCTACTTAAAAAGTTTATTGAGTGCTAAAGCACAGTCTTAGCACACGATGCACAGTTCATATAGCCAATGCATTTCCGTGGGATGTCGAAGTGCCTTTGAGAACTTAGAGCAGGCCTCCTCAAACTCAGTCCTCCAGAAGTTTTGAGACTACAATTCCCATCATCCCTGACCACTGGTCCTGCTAGCTAGAGATCATGGGAGTTGTAGGCCAAAAACATCTGGAGGTCCGAGCTTAAGGAAGCCTGACTTAGAGAAACATTTTCTATTTAGTCTTTTGAGCTGGTATCCTGGTTCTGTTGGGTCAAGGATTTATGCTTGTGCAATGGAACTTTCTTCCCTTCTCCTTGCTCTGTGCATGTGTCATGCCCTCTCTGGATCTCCTCTGGCGGTGTGGGGGAATCCCCTGAACAGATTTAGGAGAAGCATGGTGGGAGCAGAGGAGGGGAATTTCCACTGTTCAAGGGTAAAATCCTTGCACTAATGGAAAAAGAGCCTTCTTGCTACTTTGGATACAAGTCAAGTTATAATAAGGGATCCCAAGGGTCATCTAGTCTAACTCCCTGCAGTGGAGGAATATCAAGTATCCATAACAGATGGCCATTCAACCTCTGCTTAAAAACCTCCAAGGAAGGAGAGTCCATCACCTCCCAAGGGAGTCTGTTCCACTGTTGGACAACTTTTATTGTCAGAAAGTGCTTCCTCATATATAGTCGGAATCTCCCTTCTTGTAACTTGAAGCCATTGTTTCGGGACCCAACCCTCTGGAGCAGGAGAAAACAGCCTTGCTCCATCTTCCATGTGGAAGCTCTCTAGATATTTGAAGATGGTGATCATGTCTTCTCTCAGTCTCCTCTTTTCCAGTCTAAACATCATACCCAGCTCCCTCAACCGTTCCTTATAAGGTTTGGTTTCTAGACCCTTTTGACCCTCCATATGAAGAGTGCTGAGGGATGCAGGTGGTGCTGTGGGTTAAAGCACAGAGCCTAGGACTTGCCGATCAGAAGGTCGGCAGTTCGAATCCCCGCGACAGGGTGAGCTCCCGTTGCTCGGTCCCTGCTCCTGCCAACCTAGCAGTTCGAAAGCACGTCAAAGTGCAAGTAGATAAATAGGTACTGCTCCGGCGGGAAGGTAGACGACGTTTCCATGCGCTGCTCTGGTTTGCCAGAAGTGGCTTAGTCATGCTGGCCACATGACCCGGAAGCTGTACGCTGGCTCCCTCGGCCAATAAAGCGAGATGAGCGCCGCAACCCCAGAGTCAGCCTTGACTGGACCTGATGGTCAGGGGTCCCTTTACCTTTACCTATGAAGAGTGCTATTACCCAAACCATCCAGGTTGTGCAAAACCTATTTCAATGTGTTTCATTTCTTTTTCAAATGCAAAGGGTTTTTTTGGGGTGGGAGAGATTTGGCGGCAGATGTAAGTAATGCTCCTTGGCCTGTACACTACAAGCTTCAGAGGGAACAGAAAATTCTGGATAAACAACAGGTGCCTGGGGCAACAGGCCATTTGAAGGGGAGTTGTCTCCCCACAACTTCCGAATCTCTTATCTAGAATTGCTTCTGACTAGAATTTTATATGGTGAAATATAGAAATTTCAGGTTGCAGTGATAATATATGAACGGATGGATTTAAAAAGTGAGAGAAGTAATACAGAATGATGTACATTTGCAATTGTAATATCTAAATCCCCAAGCATGGATGCCAGAAGATGTGCTGCAGTCTGGCACACTCAGAAGTGCTGTGATGCCTTGTGAGGGCAGAATTTTATTGGGAATAAAATTCTTAACAGAAAAAGCAGCAGCAGAGAACAAGTTGCTCCATGTGACATTTCATTTCTTAGCAGCTTGAGAGATTAACGCTCTCACCTGCATTTAATGCATTACAATTCCCAGCTATACAGAAATGAAAACTCATTCTTTATTGCATAAATGTTATACAGAGAAAATGAGAATTTGCATTGAGGCCTTCCCTTCCTGCGAAAATCAGACTATCCTGTTAACTTGAAGGAGAAAGCGAGATTGGCACATTTCCCTGCCAAATAGAAACAGCTTAGTGCAGTACTGTATTTCGAAAGTGGAAAATAAGAGGCTACTGTTGTGGAAATATGTGTGATTACTTGGATGTGAATAGTCTGAATTTTATTTAAAAAACCCCATCTCGACAGATATGCCTCTTTTGTCCCAAATCACCAAGGAAACAACCAGCTTGTTATCAATGTATCCACCCACTGAATTGCCGAAGCCTTCAAATAATATTGATAGATGCCTTCAATGGTACCTAGCTGAATGCTGAAATGAAGGATATCACCACATCGAGGAAGTTTTTCTCTTTTTTAAAAAGCTACCAATACTTGTCCATTTACAGTCAGTGACATGTGACTCAGCCTCAAACAGATGCCATTTTCTCTTGAGGAACAGTGGTGTATTCGAGGGAGGAAAGTACTTCAACTGTGTCTGCCTGGCAAAGAGACAACTATGTCATGTCGGTGGAATAAGTGACAGTCGTGCTTGGCAGAGTCAACTGTTGTACAGATGAGACAACTATTGATTAATTTGCAACTGGACCCAGCCACCTAGGCTGAAACGTATTTGCTCAGAGATGCAGAGTTGAGATGATGAAGTGGCCTTGTCCTTTTCAATGCCGGCGAACTCCTTCGGGGCGCGATGCTGTCTTCCCATATCTCTTGGCTCATAAAGTCATCTGTTTTCTAAAGCTTTGGGGAACGCTTTTGGTTCTGCACTCCATACAAGTAAAATGGGCTAAAAGAAGATTCCATGGCAGCAGAGGAGGAGAGAAAACTGTCAGGCAGGATCAGTTCAGCCTTGAGGATAAAGAGTTTGTTAGTTTTTTCCTACCTGTGTGTTCATACCAGGCAACAGGTGGATTCAATCATGTTTTGCTTGCGAAAGCTACAACATGGCGCCTTCTAGATCTTGTAGGGCTACAGTTTCCATCACCCCAACCATTGGTCATGCTGCCTGTGGAGGATGGGACCTGCAGTCCTCCTAATGTAGGAGCTGCCTTGCCCAAATTAAAGAATATTTTAACAGCACCACCCTATGCAGATCCCCAGATCATAAAGAGAATTACTGCCCAACAAGACAATGACAAAAATCCACCAACAGCATACAAATCAATATGGCTAACCTGATCCAAAACACCCACCCACCCCACTCACACATGAAAACAACGATCACCACAGCCAATCACAAACAAACAACCACACCCTAGGCCAACCGCAACCTCTCTCACCACCAAAGGAACACAAGTGAATAGCAGAGAATCTGCACAAGCGACGCTGACACAAAACCCCACATATATTAAGTATATTAACCCCACCCCCACTCGCCTTTCCCCCCCTCCACCTCTTTCCCCCTTTTCTTCCTAATGTCTCAACAAATGAAACGGATCTGTAAAAAAATGTTACTTGGGGGGAAAAGAGAGAGAGAGAAATTGCACATACTTTTGTAAACCAAGAAATTTTTTAATAAAAATACATTAAAAAATAAAACAATAAATAAAGAGAATTACTCACAGGTAACGCTGAGCAGGACTGTGGCCTAACAGTGCAATTCTAACATATCTGTGTGGAAGAAAGTCCCATTGAGCTCAACTTGGCTTACTCTCAACTTAGAGACTTAAATCATGTTTTAAATATGATCAATAATAATAAACGATTTGCATGAATTACTTTGAATGCTGAACAAAGATTAATTTCTGACTGAGTGATAAAGGTGAGAACCTGAAAGGCAAATCTGTTTGTTGAGTTATTTGGACCGTAATAACTTTTAAAAATGAAAGAAATGTGCAGAAGGGAAGGAGAAGGCATGGGAAAAGATGCGGAAGGTTTATTTCAGAATAAGCCGAAGAATAAAACTTTTCTTATTCCTATAACATTCCTGTTTCTTTTGGCAAAGGAACAGCTCTCTGTGGGTTTCTGAAAAGGGCTCTGCAAGATTTTGCAGAAAGGCCGTGTAACACAGTTACGTTGCTCCTTTATCTTCAAGCAGTCCACCAAGTTGAGTTTCAGTCAGCGACAGAAGACAAGGAGTGACACTCTTGCGAACACTATTGCAACACTATATGCGAACATGCATGAGCAAAACTGGAAGCTGATGTAATGTTATCGCTAGGGCAAATGGGAAATGTTTCAGTATGGTTCACCAAACAGATAAGTTGCAGCAGAAGATTATGGTTGCAGAAGATGCCCTTTTACCAACAGTGCAGTTGGACCTCCCTGGTTGAACATAGGGCCAGGGATTACTGATATAAAGGCTATGTTTGCTCTGGATTAAGTCCCACTTCACTCAATGGACCTTGCTTGAGCATTTGATGTTTCTCTGTGTTCGTCTTTTAATGCAGTAATTCATACACACACACACGCAGAGAGAGAGAGAGAGAGAGAGAGAGAGAGAGAGAGACTGAGCATTTATCAGTTGCCTTGGGACAAACCTACCACCATTTGTGCAGGGTTTGTTGTGAGGGTAAAAAGTGTCCTTCATCTCAGTGGTGTAGCATGGGTTGCCAGCAAGTAATGCATCCCCTAACCTGTGTTAGGGGCCAGCAGCTTCCTCTACAGAGCCAGTATCAGCTTCCCTTTGCAGAGATACTTGGGTGGGCTGGGGGACTCTCATTGTCCCTTGGGACCAGCCCTTCACCCCGACTCTCTTCAGTGATTGGTCCGCGGCTCATAACCCACTTATCCTCCTATTCCATCTTGTCCCTGGTGCCACCAGAAGCACCAGCTGACAAGGGGTAGTAGGGCAGGGCAGGCCAGGACAGAGCTCCTCAGCACCTCCTCAGAGCTCCTCAGCACCACCCACCGATAGGCTGGGACGAAGGGGGTTGTTTGGCAACCTCCCCGAGTGGCAGTCGCGACACCCCATGACCCATATATTTACTTATTATTACGACTTTCTTTCTTTTTTTGCTTTTGAAATTTTGTGCCGCTAAGAATTTTGCCCCCTGTGGCCCCACCCACGCTAGGCCTCTGTATCTTCTTGGAATGGACAAGGCACAAATGCAAAAAATAAATACTCTTCAACTGCAGTATCTGAATGATGATAGAAGGGATTATTTATAGAGCAGCAGGGCTAATCTTTGATAATCCCTTTTCAGTGCACACGGACAGTCTGAAAGTATCTTTCCCCTCAAGGGCTGATATTTCTCTCTTGTTCTGCAAATTTTCAGCAGATGCTGGCATGGTTAATGTCACTAAGGCAGGGGTCAGCAAACTTTATCAGCAGGGGACTGGTCCACTGTCCCTCAGACCTTTGTGGAGGGCCGGACTATATTTTGGGGAAAAAATGAATGAATTCATATGCTCCACAAATAACCCAGAGGTGCATTTAAAATAAAAGCACACATTCTACTCATGTAAAAACACCAGGCAGGCCCCACAAATAACCCAGAGGTGCATTTAAAATAAAAGCACACATTCTACTCATGTAAAAACACGCTGATTCCTGGACCATCCATGGGCCGGATTTAGAAGGTGGTTAGGCTGGATCCGGCCCCTGGGCCTTTGTTTGCCTACCCATGTACAGTACTAAGGCATTCCCCACACATCACTTTTTGCACTTTGTCCTCTTCAACCTCCTTTAAAAAAAAAACCACCAAAAAAAACCTCATGCAGGAATTTAAGGGGGTTTATTTTAGGATAGGCTGTTCATGGTACCTAGTTACTCCTGCATAAATTCCATTTAAGTCTACAGGATTTGCCTTTGGATAACCAATGACAGTATTGCTCCCTAAAAAGTATACAATCTGCAGCTGCCGGCAGTTTCAGCTCTACAGACAAGAAAGGGTTAATTCCATTTGGCTCCAGAAGTTATCTGCCACTGAGCCCTTCATTCTTCCAGGTATGCAGTACTTGTAAAGACATCTGTTTGATTAGGAGATTAACCTATCTAACACAACACCCGGTTAAGTATATGCCTATCCGAAAAAAGCCACAAGATAAATTGCAACCATGCCATGTTAATCTTTCTCAGTGGGGGAGAGGGAATCTTGGACCACTGCTAGCATCAGAGCAGAAGGAATGATGCATTTGATATGTGGAACATCAGGTGCACAGAAAGGGCACATCTTTATAATATTGCCCCAAGGGTGAAAATTGGTCAACCGGTGTCATCGTTAATCTTGCAGCAGTGTCTAAAATGGTGCAGTCATTTAGTCCAAGAAAACTCGGCTTAACAGCCAGAGTACATATTTGATTTGGATCCAGTGACAAATGTATTTTGAAGGCTTCCTGGCTGGCCAATGACATATTAGATCATGTCTGTAAAACAAGATTTAATATTAGAATAGTCAACTAAGAGGACACCGTCTTCTTCCCCTCAAATTCTTTTTAAGAGTCGAAATAGAATTTACAGGGTGGTTTTTTTGTGTGTGGGGTTTTTTTTAGTGTCACACAAACTGCTAAAAGTTACTGCAAGGCAGCTGGAATAAAATATACATTATTGAGTTTATATTTTATTGAATGATTTCCCCCGCTCAATTTCAGAAACAATGCAGATAACTAGTAGAAGCAGGAATGAAGAATGCCTGCTAGCTGGAGAAAGTGGAGAGAAAATAAGTTTATAGCATTGCATTATGAATGGGAGGATTCAAGCAGAGGTAAAATTTGATGTGCATTAGAACTCTATTACCTAAATATTAGTTACTCGGAAACCCTATTGTATAAAATCACTGTCACGGCTTACGCAGCCTCAGTTTTAGAAAGCCTTAAGTAATAGCACTTCTGCTTGTTCTAATGGGAATGTTTGGGATTCTCTAGGGCTTTCCCCATGAATCAGATTCTTAAATCACTTTTGTTACACAGAACCATGAAATGAATCCGATAGCTTTACAGGATGCTCACAGAAGAAGCACCACAGAGGAAATAGCCTTTGGATAAATCAATGGAAGGAATAACAGCAAGTGATTGGAAGAGTTCTGAAACGCTCAAATCATCTGATTCAAATTATGAAATCCAGGCAGTGACAGAAAGGTTGCCATTGTAACACCAACTGTTAAAAAGCGCTCTCTCTCTCTCTCTCTCTCTCTCTCTCTCTCTCTCTCTCTGTGTGTGTGTGTGTAAACTAGTGATGAGTGACATCCTTCCACTCACATCATGTTATAATAATAATTTATTATTTATACCCCACTCATCTGGCTGGGTTTCCCCAGCCACTCTGGGTGCCCCCAACAGAATACTAAAAACACGATAAAACATCAAACATTGAAAACTTCCCTATACAGGGCTGCCTTCAGATGTCTTCTAAAAGTCAGATAGTTGTTTATTTCCTTGACATCTGCTGGGAGGGCATTCCACAGGGCGGGCGCCACTACCGAGAAGGCCCTCTGCCTGGTTCCCTGTAGCTTCACTTCTCGCAGGGAGGAAACCATCAGAAGGCCCTCGGCGCTGGACCTCAGTGTCCGAGCTGAATGATGGGGATGGAGACGTTCCTTCAGGTATACTGGGCTGAGGCCATTTAGGGCTTTAAAGATCAGCACCAACACTTTGAATTGTGCTCAGAAAGGTAAAGGTAAAGGTATTCCTGACAGTTAAGTCCAGTTGCAAATGACTCTGGGGTTGCGGCGCTCATCTTGCTTTACAGGCCAAGGGAGCTGGTGTTTGTCCGCAGACAGTTTTTCTGGGTCATGTGGAACACCAACACCAGAGCAGCGCACAGAAACGCCGTTTAGCTTCCCACCGGAGCAGTACCTATTTATCTACTTGCACTGGTGTGTTTTCGAACTGCTAGGTTGGAAGGAGCTGGAACAGAGCAATGGGAGCTCACCCCATCGTGGGGATTCGAACCACCAGCCTTTTGATTGGCAAGCCCAAGGCTCAGTGGTTTAGATTACAGTGCCACCCAAGTCTGTACTGTACTGGGAGCCAATGTAGGTCTTTCAGTTGGCTCAGAAGCTGAGCCAGTTTCCAAAAAAGTCAGGGAGAGGGATGGAAGGGTGATGAGCCTCTCCCCCTCTTCTCTCATGCAGGTCAAACCAAAGTATCCCATGGAAAATGTTTTTCCTTTCCAGTGAACATTTCTCCAGAACTTTCCAGCCTCCCCAGCTGCCTGGACCCGCTGATGGGAGAAGTTACCTCATGATGATGGTGCCTGGAGAAAGCAGTGAGTTGCATAAGGAAAAACCTAATCCCAATTAGAGATTCTGTGGTAGATTTACAAAAAGAAAAACACAGACTGATAATTTTTTAGAAATGGGCAAGATGAGACAACAAAAAAGAAAAAAAGAACAACCAAGACTCTTTGTGCTCCGCTCCGCTCCCCCTTTTCTCCCACCCAGAATGGCCTTGTCCTCTGGTTGCACCTCAGAGCCGGCGCATCATGCAGGTCTGGGCCATGACAGTGCTAGCCTCTCCCCCTCACATGCTCTCCAGCAGCCGCTATGAGGGGCCGAAGGGAGGAGATCGGCAGTGGCAGCTGTGGAGAGGCCACAGAGAGGCAACAGTTTGTTCCCTCGCAGCCACCACTGCCGCCACAGGGACATTTCAGGACCAAATCAGAAGCCAGGACAGCTTTTGTAATTCTGGGACTTGCCCTGGAAACTAGAGACACTTGTACACAAAGTATGCCGTAAAGCAGTGGATCCAAATTAGGGGTCTGGGGACCCCTGGGGGTCTGGGGACCACACCCAGGGGGTTCACAAACCCATCCCTTGCCTTACCCCCCAAACTAATTTTTTGTCATTTTTTGCATGGTAATATCACAAATGTTCTGGTCTGTTTTTGCGCCATGCAGTTTTCCAATATATTGGCCAAAATCGGTTTTGAAATCACACCATGATAACAATTTTGACCCGGCAATATGCAGCAATACATCACTCCTCACGCAAGGGAGAACAAGGCAGCTGATTGCGAGGCGCTGCCTTCCCCTCACGCTGGTGGAGAACAGGGCAGTTGATCGCTCTCACTTCAAGGCACCGTGGTACTATCTTCCCCTGGCACTGAGGCGAAGACGCTTTTCTTGGTCAGCAGGAAAGCAGCAGCAACCACAATGGACTTGGATCTTTGCTGGATGCCACCGCTGGCTGCCCCGCTGATGGCACCTTGAAGCACCCCACACCCCCCATCCCCTCCCATTCAATCCATGCAATGGAGGTGACTCCGTTTCCTCTCCTTCGCCCATCCATCAAATGTCTGCGACCGCTCCTTCCCTTTGGACACGAGTGGCTCTGTGTTCTAAACCACCAAGCCTCTTGGGCTTGCTGATCGGAAGGCTGGCGGTTTGAATTCCCGTAACGGAGTGAGTTCCCGTTGCTCTGTCCCAGCTCCTGCCAACCTAACAGTTCAAAAGCACACCAGTGCAAGTAGATAAATAGGTACTATTGCAGCAGGAAGGTAAACAGCATTTCCGTGCGCTCTGGTTTCTGTCGTGGTATCCTGTTGTGCCAGTAGCAGTTTAGTCATGCTGGCCACATGACCCGGAAAGCTGTCTGTGGACAAACACTGGCTCCCTTGGCCTAAAAGCGAGAAGAGCACCGCAACCCCATAATCGCCTTGGACTGGACTTAACCGTCCATGGGCCCTTTACCTTTATCATCATCATCATCATTATTATTATTTTACCTTTTTCTCATTCCCTTATCCCCATGCCTGATCTCCAGTTTCAGACATTGTGATACAGTGGTACCTTGGTTTTTGGATGCAATCCATTCTGGAAGTCCATTCAAGTTCTGAAACGTTTGAAAAGTGGAAGCCTCAAAACAGAAAACTCAAAATGGAAGCCGCGTTTCCTGTTCCACTTCCGAGGCATGCTCGAAGACCAAGGCACTTATTTCTGGGTTTTTGGCATTTGAGTTCTGAAACATTTGACTATGGAGGCAAGGTACCACTGTATATTGGAATATCACAATGTTTATATCACGAGATTGAAAACCAGATATCTCTCAGCTCTAGTCTGCTTTTTAGTATACCTAAAATAATTTCCTTATGTGAGGCTACCTCACATTTTGTTCAAAAAATTGCTTTGCAGAGGTAACTACCACTGAGTTATCAACATTTTCGAAAGTAGGGGGTCTGTTGCTTGGCTTTTGAAAAATAGGGTGTCCTCAGTAATTAGCTAATTGGGAACCACTGTGATAGAGTATACCTCTTGTGGCGTATTTGCAGTGCGGGGAGAGCCGAGGTGGTAAACAGAAGCCATGCTTTCCCATTCCTGAACAGAACATGGTCTGTTCTGTACATAACATGACACGAGCTATAGAGCATACTTTGTTGTGGATTACAGGGCATGGGTGCACAGGATTTGTGGAAAGCATAAAATGCATTTGGGGAGCACTCTGGGTGATTGCACGGATAAGCAGTTTTCAGTTGCGAAAACTGAAACTAATTCTGTTTGCTTTAATGAAACCATCTGTTTTAGCAACCAGCATTCAATGGAAGTAGCTCTGAGAAGATGTAGCTTTCTTTTTACATGCTTTCCCCATTTGATCAGCGGCGCACGCATACTGTGGTCGGCTTTGTGCGACATGACTGGCAACGTTATTTCTGAGACAGAATGAACTTTAATGTTAAAGACACAGACGCTTCACAGAAGGTACCTGTCTTGTGAAGTTTGCACACTGCCTTATTCATGAACAACTTAAGAGTGACATTAGCTCAACTTCAGCCAGTTAGGACTTGAAAGACCATGCTTTTGGAAAAATAACATTATTTATGTTGTACATGAATGGGTACATTTTGTATTTAAGTTTTGAATGTCTCTTTCTGGTTGTGCACCAACTGGAACGTGGAATATATGATATCCAAGTTGCCATTATGCAGAGCGGTTGGAATTACATTTTTTTTTAAAAAGAGAGAATGTGGGACAGTCTTGTGGGCATCACAAATGGTGCATTTATTCATTTGGCCAAGCTGAGTGGAGAATGTGTGAACGCTATGCACACCAGCCATGCGTATAGCTTTTGGAAACCCACAAAATGGTGTGGTATAACCAGAGACAAGCAGTGTGGTGCTTGCATATACTACAGTTTGACAACAGCCAACATCATGGACCACATGTTGAAAAAGCAGAAGGCCTTTGGCTTAGAGGAATATCTAAATCAGTCTTCACCAACCTAGTGAAGAGGTTACCAAACGTCCCCGTTTCCCGGGGACAGTCCCCGGATTTGCGAATAAGTCCCCGGACTTATTCCCCCACTCTCTGCAAGATCCCAGAGAATTCCAGGCACTCACCCAGCGTCTGTGCTCCTTTGGAAAATTGAGACACAGCACAGACTGCCTGGGCTGGTCCTGTGGGTTATCCGAGAGGCGAGGTCCAAGCTTGAGTGCACAGCCATGTCCTTTGAGTTTGCCTGTGCCTTTGGTTAAGAGCAATTGGGACTAGAGGAATGTCACCTTTGCAAATTCCTTTACAAATCAACCTGATCGAGATTCTTCTTGCAGGTGAATGTGTGGATCAGATTTCAGCTATTCGTTGGCTTTTGCATTTCTTGAAAAGTTGGGATAGAGTTCACAGCTCGAAACACACACACACACACACACACACACACACACACACTATAGCACATTTTGAGAGAAACATGTTTTAAGATTTATTTTTGACATTTCTAAGCTGCCATTCGAAACATAATGTCTTCCCATCTCGGTTTACAACAGGCATAGGCAAACTCTGGCCCTCCAGATGTTTGGGACTACAATTCCCATCACCCCTAGCTAACAGGACCAGTGGTCAGGGATGATGGGAATTGTAGTCCCAAACATCTGGAGGCCCAGAGTTTGCCTATGCCTGGTTTACAAGATACAAAGCCCAACATATAGAAAGGCCACATAAAATATCAAATGGCTATAATAAGAATAGGAACAGTAAACTAGGGTTACCAGACATCCTTGTTTCCCAGGGAAAGTGCCCAGATTTGCAAATAAGTCCCCAGGCAAATTCCATCCCCGGAATGTCCCCTGATTTCATCTAAGGTCCCCGGGAAACAGCAGTGGCAGTTTCAGCAGCCTGGAGCAGTTGGCTCTGGCTGGCTTCAGGAGCTGCTCAGAAGTCCCCATATGATGGTGGTCTAGGGGCTCTAAGATGCAGCTTCCGGGCTGCCTCCACCTTCCCTGACCCCAGCAACTAAGCTGTGAAGGGAGGCTTCATGCAGCCTATCAGAGCAGCCTCCCAACTCCTACTTGCGTGCAAGCAGGAGTGGGGCAGGGATCTCTCAGCTGGGAAGGGAGGCTTCACGCTGCCTATCAGAGCTTGCGTGCAAGCAGGAGAGGGCAGGGACCTCTCCGTTAGGCAACGGGAAGCCTCCCTTCCCAGCTGAGGGATCCATGCCCCCCTCCTGCTTGCATGCAGGTAGGAATGAGATTGGGGCTGCTCTGATGGGAAAGGAGGCATTACGCTGCCCGAACCTCATCACCGCTGCTCTTGGCCCTCCTTCTCCGCCTTCCATACCTGACCCACCGCACACCGCTTCCCCACCACCACCGCCAAAGAACCAACAACTCAGGGGCTGCCGAGGATCATGGAGAAAGAAGATAGAAGCCTCGGAGGAAGGGGAAACGTGGTTGAGGTCAAGGCGGCGGCGGCCACTCTGCCACCACCATCGCTGCAGCATCAACATCCTGAACGTGTAGTATGTATGTATGTATGTATGTATGTATGCATTGTGTCCCCAGATTCATTGAAAAAAATCTGGTAACCTTAACCTGCTGCCCTTCAGATGTCTTGAACTACAAGTCCTATCACAATGTTGGCTGATGAGTATCGTGGTTGAAAACAGGACTGCACCTGGAAAGCTGATCTAAATCCCTTCACTGATTCTGTTTGCATGGCCGATCTTGCTCTGATTCATGGCTTTGAAGTATTTAAGTAAATATATCTCCAAGCAGAAAAAAATATATGTAAACACTGCTCAAACTTCCTTTCATCTGCTTGTTAATGGGGCACCCTTTGTACCAATAGGGTTTTGGCTGGGGTGGCCTCTGTTAAGTGTACACCCAGCAGCAAACTATGGTTTCTTGTGATGTAATGTGTGAAACAGCTCTTAGTTAAAGCTGCAATCTTTCACCCACTTATATGCAAACAATACAGTCTGTGAATGGACCATTCATTTAAATCACATGATACCCCTGAAGAATCATGGGAACTGTAGTTTGTTAAGGGTTTGATCTACTATAGCTCTGTGAAGGTTAAACTACAGTTCCCAGAATTCTCAGGGGTAAGTAATGTGCGTTAAATGTGCTTTAAATGCGAAGTCTGTACACAGCCCAAGTTAAAACTTGTGCACACATGCAAACAAGTGTTGTGTGTACGGTATATATTTTTAATCTATAGGATTTTCTTCCCATCCCTGCTCAGAGCCCACTTTGAAATCTCTCTTTCCCCATGCAGAAACCTTTCCAGAAAGGCCAGTGTATTAAGTCAAATGGGGTCAGGAGACTTCTGGTCTAGTCAGAAAGTCCTCCCCAAGGATTTAATGTGTGAACAGGCCTCTCTGCCATATATTCTGCCTCTTGTTTGTTTAACAAAGCGGAGGTGGGGGATTACATGATAAATCGCAGTCATTTTTATAATGTAAATGAAGGAAGGAGGAAGCCTTTCCCAAAAAGCACATTTGCTTCATTAGAATTTGGGAGCTTCCTTTGCACAAGAAAGAAAACCCTTCTTATGCTCTTCAGTTACCAGATGTCTGTCTCACCACAACAAAGTGATGTGTTAGGGAACTGGGTAGAGAAAAGGGAGCGGATGAAATTCTGACCAGGAAGTAAAAGTTTCTCTCTCTTGGCATGATAGTGCCAGCTACATCTGAGAAACTGCTATAGAGCATTAGTGGCTGAAGGAATAAACACTGGAAATAAGGGTTTATTGGTTTTACATATGCCATACTCCCAAGCCAGCTGCTGTTGGAACCTAACACTCATGCTAGATCCATATATTTTAAAATCTTTAAATGAACTGCAAAGCCCTACTTTCTACGGATCTCTCCAGAAATAACCATCTTTATTTCCCAGATCAGATTTTCAAATCCTGGCTAAACTTTTATATTGAGGGATGTGGCCATGAGAATCTCAGTCTAAGGAATCCAGGGCTCAAATATCAGTATAACAAAAAAACTGCTTTAAGGCTGCAGTGTGATATACTTAGCTGGGAGTAAGTATCACTGAACTCAGCGTGGTTTGTTTCTGTGTAGACCTGTAAAGGACTGCAGCTTAAGTAGCCACACTCAAACCACCAATCTCAGCCAATGCTGCTGCAATGTGGGAATGAAAATAGTGGCCTACCTTACCTTAGTGGACCATTTAAGAATGACCATGACATGGCAGGCGTCTCCCCACTTACACGCGACCACGTATATGTGCGTCTCTGGAAAATAAATAAAACAGATTCAAACCAGGAAATGGTGGGAGAGAGCTGGAGGGTCCTTGTGGCTCGCAAGCTGACCTTTCCAGGAGCCTGAAGAGGACTTCAGAGAGGGCAGAAAAGAGAATGGAGGCACAGTGGGACTTTGTTTAGGCCAGGGGTCAGCAAACTTTTTCAGCAGGGAGCCAGGCCACTGTCCCTCAGACCTTGTGGGGGGGGCGGACTATATTTCGGAAAAAAAATATATTAATGAATTCCTCCGTATAGTTAAAGCTATGGTTTTCCCAGTAGTGATGTATGGAAGTGAGAGCTGGAGCATAAAGAAGGCTGATCGGCAAAGAATTGATGCTTTTGAATTATGGTGCTGGAGGAGACTCTTGAGAGTCCCATGGACTGCAAGAAGATCAAACCTTTCCATTCTGAAGGAAATCAGCCCTGAGTGCTCCCTGGAAGGACAGATCCTGAAGCTGAGGCTCCAATACTTTGGCCACCTCATGAGAAGAGAAGACTCCCTGGAAAAGACCCTGATGTTGGGAAAGATGGAGGGCACAAGGAGAAGGGGACGACAGAGGACGAGATGGTTGGACAGTGTTCTTGAAGCTACCAGCATGAGTGTAACCAAACTGCGGGAGTCAGGGGAAGACAGGAGTGCCTGGCGTGCTCTGGTCCATGGGGTCACAAAGAGTCGGACACGACTAAACGACTAAACAACAACAAATGCTCCACAAATAACCCAGAGATGCATTTTAAATAAAAGCACACATTCTACTCATGTAAAAACACGCTGATTCCCGGACCGTCCGCGGGCTGGATTTAGAATGCGATTGGGCCAGATCCGGCCTCCGGGCCTTTGTTTGCCTACCCATGGTTTAGGCTGCTCAGCCTCCCCACTTAACAGCTGATGCAAGCATGAGCACACTTTTCTGTGTGTCCTCCAGCTGGTCTCAAGAGCTTCAACAAGAGTTTTGTGGAAAGAACTTCAGGGAGAGAGCTGGGGAGGAGGGGGAAATGGGTGTTTAGAGACTTTTTGGAGGGTGCTTCCCACTTACGAGATATTTGCTTATGTCTGTGGGTGCCCTGAATGTAACCCCTGTGTAAGTGGGTGGGGGAGATGCGGGGGTTATGTTCCGGTCCCCTACCCAGTGCATGTGTGGATGGGCAAACTAGATTTCCTCTGTGATTCACACTTGGTTAGGTTACAGCAAATGATAAGCTGAAAACCTTTGTTAGATGTTAAGCAGGGGTTGGTCATCTTCCAGAAACCAATGAACTCCCAATGCCCACATCCTTAACCATTGGCCATGCTGGCTGTGGAATTCAAACTTCAACCATATCTGGAGGGCCACAGCTCCCGTACCCCAGTGGAAAGCTTAGTGTTTGTCATGGGAACATTCAAATGGAATCAGCTTACTGAAAAGACCCTTCAGTTCAATTTGACCTTGATTTTGAATACGACGCCGCTCAACTTGTTTGTGCAGATTTAGAGTTCTTTTATGAAATAATACATAATAAAAATGACTCAATTTCCCGTTGAGCAAATCAATAGGTACGGAGCCGGGAATCTCACACTGACAGAGATAACTGCATTTTGTTTTAGCGTTAATAAATTCTTATTTGTCTGGATTTTTCTATCTGCTCCCCAATTGTTTAATACTCGCCGTGCTTTAGTCCGCCTGCTTGTAAAACTATTCGTTCCATCTGAAAAAGCGACATAATCCATCGAAGAACAAATATGTAGGATTAGCACATTATGAAGAATAAAGAGCAGCTTTCAGCTCTCTGCCATAGATGGTGTTTATCACATTTTTCACTACCCAGCTCGAATAACGCAGAGATAAAGGAGGCTGAATACATCTACCATAATAGAGTGTTTTACAACAACAACTGGAGTGCACATAAAAAGATGATGCACGTCTTCCCATATTTTCTCCCTTTTTCTTCTCTCCTCTATTTTTTTTAAAAAAGAAAGAAATTACAAACACACACATTCTCCACTTGTACAAAAGTCAGTTTGGACTTTTTCCTGTCTCTTATGTTAATGTATTCATGGAAAAATCTGGTGCTAAGGGTGGCTCTCCAATTAAGACAAATGAGGCACATTGAATAAGTCCCCCAGGGCACTGCAGGGGTGCTGGCATTAATCGACTTTATTCTTTTCTGTCAGGGCTGAACGGGGGAAACAAAAGCATGAAAATGCAACACATCCACTTACAGAATAATAAAGGCTGTTGTTTAAAAGCGTGAAGAGTTTTGGCACCCTTCTGGGGCCTTATGCAAATGAGGCTT